ATTGAACCACCGCCCACCAGAGCCCCATCTGTCCGGATGGGCCAGTCCCTGTGCCTGGTGACTTCAAGAATGTTAAGAATAGCTTTCCTGTTTTGGCTCTCAGGATCCACGTGCTGTCTTCTCCCTGGGCCCGGTCACAGCCCCCCTAGAATCTGGTGCTGGAGGAAGATGCCAGCCCAGAGCCCCGGCCCTGCCTCTGCAGTACCACCTTGCATATTCCGCCCTCCTCCCCACTGGGTCTCCGAAGCCCTGTGTGTGCAGCGAGGGCATTGGACTGGATAGGCCTCAAGTCCCTTTTGGGTCCGATGGGCCATGATCTGCTTCCGGCTCTTTCCAGACCCCTCTCCCATGTCGGGACCAGGAGGCGCCACCGTCCTTGGCCTGCTGATGCTGTCTCCACATCTTCCTCCTGCTCCACCCCAGGACTCTCTCCTTGGACTTTCTCCGCAGAGGACAGGATCCTCCTCCCGTGCCCGTTATAGTAACTCCTCCAAGAGGAGAAGGCTGCTAGCAAATCCCTTCTACACACACATTCTATTTTTAAATAACATTTATTTCTGATTTTCAAAGTAAGTCTGTACCTGATCATTGCAGGAAAATTGGAAACAGACAAGTATAAAAGAAAAATGAAAATCACCCATAATCCTTCCAAACAGCGATAACCACTACTAATGGGTTTTATTTAAATACACACATACTTTTTTTTCTTCCTGTCACAGCTGTAGATGCAGCTTCAGGCCACCCCAAGACTGGCCTTGAAGCTGGGTGAAGTTCTGGCTCCCCAGGCCTGCTGTTCCATGGCAGGCCCACTTGGGTTTGTGGGCCCTGGGCACCCCCAGAGTTTAAATTATGACTCTGTGTGTGTGTGTGTGTGTGTGTGTGTGTGTGTGTGTGTGTAAGAAGGAGACAGACACAGAGGCAGCATAGAAGAGAAGCAGGAAAGACAGAAGTACAGAGAGAGACAGATGGCGGGACAGAGGCGCAAAGGGTAGGAATCTCAGCCCACCCGCACCGAGACCGGCGCCCTCCCTGCGTGGCTGTGCGGCAGCGCTGCCCTCCTTCCTAACATGGAGCAGCTGGGGCGCCTCGCTAAGCTAATCCGTTCCCATCACTCGAGAAAGGAAAGTGTATTTATAATCTGTTTGCCTGCCTGCAGGAGCCCGTGGTTGCAGCTGGGGCACAGTAACAGAGCCCTTCGTGGGGGGCTGGGGGCCTCCGAGATGACACCTGCCCTTTTTGACCCGTGGACTGGGGAGAGACGATGCTGGGAGTCTGGGGCTTCCTGCAGACCGGGGAGTGTCACAGCAGGTTGGGAACAGGCCCGCCTGCCACCTTCGCACTTGGAGATGAAGGAAACAGGACCCTAAGAGCATACCAGGACTCCACAGCAAGTTGCACAGAGGCGGGCTGGGGGATGTGTCAGGACCTGATGTGGTGAGACTCCCCACATGGCAGCTTTGCATTTTGGGGGTGTATATACTAGAGAAACAGATACAGCACAAGATATACAAATATTCAAGACTCTCCAGGGGCCGGCTGCAGAGTCGATGAGGACGCATGCAGAGGGTGTCAGGACCTGGAGGCGGAAGAGTCAATGCCAGAAGCCCGAAGGATCCGCACCAGAAGCCAGAGAGTCTGTGCTGGAAGCCAGGAGATGACATCCAAGGTGAAGCGGAGACTGGAGCTCCTCTTCCTCTGAAGAAGGGAACGGATCCATCCTTCCCCATTTCCCCTGTGCCATCCAGGCCATGGGCCCGGGTGTGGGATCCTGAGCTAACTTAGTTGCTCTTCTCTTCCTTGACTTGATACAATCGATTATCGGCCATCGCAGGGGTGACTGAGAAGGCAGGCACGAGGGTGACAGGCTGAGAACTCATCGGGACACCTCATATGCTTCCAGATTCCTCCAAACCCAGAGGAGCTGGCCCCTGTGTGACACTGTCCCTTCTGTCCAGGGACGAGTTTTGAGGGTGCCTAACCCAAGATCATTGGACTCCTTTCCTTCATTCCACACCTACCTGCCAAGCATTGCCCCCCCCCCCAGGTTTTGTTTTCTGGTACTGGGGATTGAACTCAGGACCTTTGCATTCAATTATATCCACAGCCCTTTTTATTTTAAGTTTCTCCATAAATTACCAAATTGCCCAGGCTGGGCTAGAACTTGTGACCCTCCCGCCTCAGCCTCCCAGAATGCTGAGATTACAGGTGTGCACCACCACACCCAGCTCCCAGGAGTTTTTAAGACCACATCCTGCTCCTTTGGAGCTCTGGTCCTCTGGCTGTGGCACTCACTGGAAGATGGCATGGCTGTGCCTAAGGTGCTGCTCATGGGAGTCCCCGCAGGTGCTTCTGCAGGGCCTGACACTGCTCACATGGACCAGGGCTCCTCGCAGCCGCCCCAGACACTGCTGCTGTGTGCCCGCTGCAGTGATGTGTGCTCCACAGCTCAGGAGGGGACTCCGCGGTACCTAGGTCCTAGATCCTGCCTACCAGGGCTGAGGCCACCCACAGGTGGCATCACTTATGTGGTCACACCCCGGGTGGTTGACAATGGCTGTCGGCAGGGATGCTGCAGGTGGTCTCCGCACAGGCTTCCCCACAGCTTGGCACAGGGTTCCACGCCTCGGTGCCTCCAGAAAGCCCGCATCTCTCTTTACTCCCTATTCTTGAGGTCTTGGGGCACCACACCAGCTGTAGACTTACCCTGCCCACCCAGATCGGAGGAGAAATGCACAAAAATCTTGGCAGGAAATAGCATGTGACACGGGAGACATGGGCATAGCATCTTTGGAAAAAGTAATCTGCTGTGTGAATCCCTTTGGAGTTTATAGCCTTTGGAAGCAGAAGTAGAAGAGAGAAGCATAAATGCTACCCTTCCTCATGCATAGACCTGCCAGGCACACCACATTCAGTCTACTAGCTACACCAGCCTTCCAACATGGGTACTGTTGTCCCCCTTTTACAGATAGGAAGACTGAGGCTCAGAAAGTTTACACTGCCTGCCTTAAATCACACTGGAGGGATTTGTATCCAAGTCTGCTTACCTCCAAAACCATAGCCCTTAACATCCTGCTGCCCTCCTTTCCCAAAGGAATTTTACCCCTAGGTGAAGTGTGGTAAGGGAGGTAAGAAGCTTAGGGAGCTGGAGGTGGGGGTGCGCCCTGAGATCTGGGAAGCCTTCCTGGCAGAAGTGATGCTGACCAAAGCCTTGAAAGATGAATTAGATTTGGCAGAATCTGGAGAAGTAGCAGTAGGGTACTCACATTGCCCAGGGAAGGTTGCTGTGACCTGGACTCCTGACCTTTGACCCCTCAAACACTGACACCTAGATTATGCTCCCTACAGGCAGGCGGAAGTGGGGGCTAGATGGGTGCAGTGGGTCCCTGGAGAAGTGGCCCCTGCCTCTCTTGCACCCTGTCACCATCAGCTTCCTGCCTCAGGGAGGAGCCTCCCACCCCTGGCCTTCCCTTTGGCGATGGGCTGAGCCTGAGCTGCCTCCTGCGCTAAGCTACACTGAGCATCCTGCCTCTGTCCCCTCCATCCCCGTTCCCTGTGCAGGCGCTCACTGGCAGGCTGGTGGGCTCGCCTTGGGGCACTGTAAATAGGAAGTTAATTATCTCATTGATAAGACTCTTGCAAATCACAGGGGCAGTCCCTGCCCTTCCAGGCCTGTCTTTCAAGTGCAGCCCTCTCTCACCCGCCCTGGGAAACCCCTTTTAGCCACTGTCTCTCTCTTGTTTTTTGTTCCCCTCCTTGCATCTGTCTCTGTCCATCCCCCAGCTACCCCACTCTCATCTGTCTCTCTCCTCTGTCCATCTGTCCCTGTCCCGCATCTCTGCGATGACTGTCCCTGTTCCCTGCCTCCCTTCTGCCTCTCTTCCTCACTTTCTCTGGACAGCAGCCCCCTCTCTTCCAGGACAGACCGTCTAATTGAAATGGAGCACCCCAGAGCATGTTAATAGGAAAGGCAGCATTAATTAGCCAGCTCTGGCATAATTAGCTCCCTCCTCTCACTGCCTGGCATCTAACTGGATAATAAGCCTCTCTCTGTCCAAACAGAAGGCAGGCAGGACAAGGGGATAGGCCATGCTGGAGATGCCAGAAGGTGTCCTGTCTTTGGGCCACCCCACTGGGGTCCTCAGACTGCCTGGCCCTGCCCTCTCCTGCCAGGATCCCCCTGCTGCTTGAGCTCAAATCTCAGATGCCCGGCCCCTGCCCATGCCCAAAGGTTTGACGTTACTAGAGCTGAATATTAAGTGGTCTGAGTCCAACAGGGGCTGCAGCTGCAGCGTCCAGAAGGGGAGGGGAGCTACTGAGGGCTGGAGGCAAGCTCGGACTGGCACCTCGCCCTGGCACAGCCCCCTGCGCAAAGGCTGAGCACGTTACAGTCCCCAAAGGGGGAGAAAGAAATCTGCTTCTGTGGCAGCCAGTACCTAATGTACTGGAGACGTAAGGCACCTCTACCTTCGACCCCACGATTGCACAGGGAGAGAATGGCCACCTCCACACTGCCAGGACCCAAATGCAAGTCTGTTACATTCCAAATTCCATGCCCTGTTCCTTCTGCACGATATCTACTTCCTGAAGGTACTCTACAGCTGCTCACTGAATAAAAACAGTTGCCGTGGAATAACAGTGGCCTTGACTTCTAAAGTGAGAATGCAGCACACACTGGAAAGTCATCTGTAGCAAATTCTCAACTATTTCTTACAAGGGCAAAAACAGTTGTGTGTGTGTGTGTGTTTGCAATTGGGCTGTCATGCTGCTTCTGTGGCCTTGAAAAGCCAGTATCTAGTTGGGGGAGGGGATGGGCAAATACCAGGATTTCTCTTTCAGTTTGGTGCACACGTGGTCCAATTTAGTAGCGTTTGGTGCTTGTGTGGTGCCGTCCCAGCACTATGTTAGTGTTTGTTAGAATGGGCAGCGTTGGCCGCCAGGGTTGGTGCCACAGGCTCCTCCCTGCTCTCTCTCCAGGCTGTGACCCTTTCCCTCTCCTGTAGGTTATGGACTCAGAGGATGACCCCTTGCTGCAGGACTTGTGGCTAGAGGAAGAGCAGGAGGAGGAAGAAGCCACAGGGGAGCCCGTTAGGGGGGCCCAGATGTCAGGGCCCCGGCCCCGGGCAGGCGGCCAGTGTTGCTGGCGGCGCTGGACTCTTCCGTCCCGGCCCCCAGACTCTGGTTTCTGGAGCACCCTGGGCTGGGCCTTCACCAACCCGTGCTGCGCCGGGCTAGTGCTCTTTCTGGGCTGCAGCATCCCCATGGCCTTGTCGGCTTTCATGTTCCTCTATTACCCACCGCTGGACATTGACATCTCTTACAACGCCTTTGAGATCCGCAACCACGAGGCCTCCCAACGCTTCGACGCCCTAGCGTTGGCGCTCAAATCTCAGTTTGGATCCTGGGGTCGCAACCGGCGGGACTTGGCAGACTTTACATCTGAGACGCTTCAGCGCCTCATCTCGGAGCAACTACAGCAGCTCCATCTCGGAAATCGCTCGCGCCAGGCTTCCAGAGCTCCGCGCGCTGTCCCGGCGGCCACCTGGAACACCTATGTAAGGCAAAAGCCAATAGCCAATCAGGGTGGGCGTCTTAGGCGTGAGGCCCCGCCCCCGAAGGATCTAGCAGCCAACCAGAGTGGCCCTTCAGAGGATCCGCCCACGGGCAACAGTGGGCGGTACCAGCCTAGTGTTCCGCCCCCCACGACTGCAGCGACCAATCAGAGCCGTGCCCGCCGGGGCGCCTCGCGCTGGGACTACTCAAGGGCCTATGTGAGCGCCAACACCCAGACCCATGCGCACTGGCGCATCGAGCTTATCTTCCTTGCTCGCGGTGACGCGGAGCGCAATATTTTCACCAGTGAGAGACTGGTCACGATCCACGAGATTGAGCGCAAGATCATGGACCACCCGGGTTTCCGGGAGTTCTGCTGGAAGCCCCACGAGGTGCTCAAAGACCTGCCCCTCGGCTCCTACTCCTACTGCTCCCCGCCCAGCTCGCTCATGACCTACTTCTTCCCTACCGAGAGGGGCGGCAAGATCTACTATGATGGCATGGGCCAGGACCTGGCGGACATCCGGGGTAAGCAGACCCGGGTGTATGAGGGAAAGCGTGGGGTGGGGATTGGGCACATGGTCAGCTAGTGGAAGAACCCGGGACCTGGTAGGAGGGAGATACGGGAGAGACTGGGGTTGAAGGAGGACGGGTTAGTTGCGGGTACATGACAGATGGGACTTGGGGGAATGATGGGTCAGGGTCAGAGAACAGTTGTGGGAGCTGGGACAAGGTTCGGTGACCTTTTAGGGGAGGACGTGTGCAGGGCAGAACCCTAGAAACCGGATACAGAAAGTGGAGGTACAGAAGCGCAGAGACCGGGACTCAGGTGGGGTTCAAACTGGAATGAAAGTTTAAATGTAGAAACTGGAAAGCTGTAGGTTCTTTAAACTATCCCTCTGCCCCAGTGAGGAGCCTCAGGCAGCCTGAGTGGGAGTTTCCAAGCACCTTCGTTAGGGATAAGGTGGTGGGAAAGGGTGGCACTGAGCTCTCTGGGCCCTCCCGTGCCCCTGCAGGCTCCCTAGAGCTGGCCATGACTCACCCGGAGTTCTACTGGTACGTGGATGAGGGCCTCTCCGCTGACAATCTGAAGAGCTCCCTGCTGCGCAGTGAGATCCTGTTTGGGGCGCCTCTGCCCAACTACTACTCAGTGGACGACCGCTGGGAGGAGCAGCGGGCCAAGTTTCAGAGCTTCGTGGTCACCTACGTGGCCATGCTGGCCAAGCAGTCCACTAGGTAGGAAGTGCAGCCCTGCCCCAGGTGCCCGCCCCTGTGGGTACCAGAACAGAGTTGACTGTGGCTTAGATGCCTCTTCTTCATGATCTCCTTATCCACAGTGTTTCCCCTAGGAAATCTTTCTTCCCAATCAAGGCCAGAGCCAGGTAAAGCCACACTTTCCATCCTGAGAAGCGAAAGGCCCCTTTTTTTGATCAGTGCTAATAGCAACTATGATAACTTTAAGGGAAGTTGGGGTGGGGGATATAGCTCAGTGGCACAGTGCCTGCCTGGCCAAAAAAACAAGCATTAAAGGGAGGTTCGTAATTCCCCAGCTCTCACCTTGGTGTGCTTGAATATTGATTTTCTCCTGAGGTGGAGAAATCTTTCTTGAGATCTTTCTGGAAAAATGTTTGCTCAAGGAGAAAGTATTTTCTCTGCCTCTAATGTCCAGGGAAGCACTGGACAAGTCACTTCATTTCCCTTGGCATCAATGTCCCTACTGGTGGAATGGGGACCATGAAACCCGATAACCTCGTGGAAGAGATGAGCTAACAGGTGCTTTGGGAGGTTGCATCTGGGAACACAGTCCGGTCATCCCCTCCGGGACAGTCCGGCTGGGTTATAACTGCAATGTGTTCCAGTCCTAGCCCTGACAGGCTGGCCCAGGAGAGATCATTCTGCCTGAAATACCCTCATCCCCTTCACTGCTCATCCATTATTCTGAACAACCGCTATCATAATCCCAGCCGTTTACCGAGCACTTATGCTAGACTTACGCTAGATTCACAGCCCTTTCTATACCCCCTATCATTCAACTTCAACCCCAGCCCAAGGAGATGGTTGCTATTATGATGATCTCTGCATGAGCACTGAGGTACAGCACAATTAAATTGTCCAAAACTGTCGAGCTCATCAGTGGTGGAATGGGATTCATGCAGGCTTTCTAATCCTGAGCCCTCACCCACTGAGTTTTTCTGCCAGTTGATGCATTAGGAGCCTTCACCCTGTCCTGCTTCTTTGACGGTAAATGCCTGTTTACCCATTAAGACCCAGCTTTGGGTTGTTTTTCCCCGAGGCTGGATTAAATGCTCACCCTTCCTGTGTTCACTGCCCCCTCCTACTCTAAGAGAGACAAGGAAGAGCACACACAGATGCTGGAGCTAGATGTCTCTGGGGTGAGATCCCAGTTATGCCTTTCTTAGTTGTGGACATTTCTGTGAGCAGTGTTGCTCCTCCGTGCTACAGTTTCATCCTAGCATTTGTCATGCTGTATTTTAGCCGTAACTCGGAGAGCAGGCCTTAAATCAGCAACAGCAGCATTACCTGCAGGATTGGTAGGAGTGCAGAATCACACAACCCTTCCCAGGCCCGCAGAACCTCCAAGCTGTTTGTTTGCAAGTTAAAGATTGAGACGGGCCTGGTTTAGAATGTGAGTTTGTTGAGATCTGGGATTGTTTCTGGCTCATTTCCATAGGTCTCGACTCAGTACAGCTCCAGGTACCCGTAGCCAGGATTTATCTGGTAATGGATGGGTAGAGGTGCCTCAGGGAGAGACAGCTGAGAGGCTCTGATGGTGGAGGGATCTTCAAGGTTTTAGATATTGGCGATTATTTCTGCCTTAAATGTTCAGCTTCTGAAGCAACATCTCTGCCCTTAGGAAAAAAAAAAGCCAGTCTTTCCGTTTTCCTTCTCCTGGAGCTTCCTAACAGTAGTGACAGCCAGGGCCCTTAGGGATTGGATGTTAATGCTGCCTTCTGGAGTAACACAGTCTTTTTTTATTATCCTATTATCAATGGCCCAGGAGATGGCAACACATTCTTGACTTAATATAAAATAATCCAAGTTATTGTTTTTATATTTCTCTGATAATGCTAGAATCCTAGGTCACTTTCTCTGCATTTATTCTTGTTCAACCTGTTGTATTTTTGTTGCATGTGTCTTAATCTGATATACACCGGAAACCCCAAAAGACATTGTGTGATTGTAGATAGTCTATTTATTTGTTTTTATTCTCATATTTACCTTTCTTACTGTTCTTCGTCATTTTGTACAATTTTACACTTCCCTCTGGGATCATTTTCCTTGTGTCTGAAAAATTCTCTTTAGAATTTTTTAGTGCAGGGTTGCTGCTGATGAGCTCTGTTTTATTTGCCTAGAGAGCATTTTTATTTCTGCTTTTGAAGTCTGTTTCTGCTGTACTGAGTTACAGATTGACAGTCATTTTCTTTTAATATTTTAAAGACGTCCCAGTGTCTTCTGACTCCCATCATCTCTGTTGAAAAATCAGTGGAGAATCTTCCTGTTGCTGTTTTAAATGATTATCTTTTTTACTCTAGTTTAAGACTTCTGTGTCTTCAGGCTCACCAGTCTTGGTATGAGGAATGTTGGTGTAGTTTTCTTTGTATTTCTTCTGCCTGAGTCACAGAATATTTTGAGCCTCTAAGCTGATTGTAATCACTTTTAGAAACTTGTGTCATTTCAAGTATTACTTCTCTCTTGTTCTTGGTAACTTTTTAGGACTCGCCTGTCAACGTTCTTTTCTAGGTGTTATCTATTTTTTTCTAGCTTTTGGTTTAAGTGTTCCAGATCACTAATCCTGTACTTTATGGGTCTAATCTATCATTTAATGTCTGTGGATTTTTTGTTGCTAATGGCTTTGTCTTTTTGTCAAAAATTTCCACTTGGTTCTTTGTTCCAGATCTGCATCACTGCTGAAATTTTTCATATTTTGCTTGTATGGACATAGCCTCTTCTCTGTTCTTAAGAATACCAATTATAGTTGCTTTAAATTTCTTTTCAGGTAGCTTTGCCATATGAGTTAACCTGTGGATTTTTTTCTGTGGTCTGTTCTCTCACCTGTTTTTTGGCCATGTTTTCCTGCCTGTGGTAGTTTTTATTGCATATTGAACATTTTTATGAAAAACAGAGATCTAAGTGATGTTCTTTCCTCCACAGCAGTTTATCCTTCCCTGCTCTCAGTTGGTAGCTGTGTGAGTAATCTCCTTCACTAATCAGTGACTACAGCGGTCAAGGATGTTTCGTAGACCTAAAAGTTCTCAGTGTACCTGTAGTTTGTTGTGGTTCTCCAGCATTTTACCTGAAAGCCTGGGGTATTTTGCAGAGTCCTCTCCCATGATACGTCACAAACTTACTTTTTATTTCTCAAAGCTACTTATAAAACTCCACTCTGCTTTTTTTTTCCTGAGACTTTCTGCTTAGGTATTTTTAGCCACATGCCACATGCAACCTCGTCTTTCCAACAGAAGTGTTGAGGGGAAAACTAGCTGTGTGTCCTGCTAGTTTCCGTGTCTCTGCCCAAATCTTTGCTGATTTATTTGACTCACAGCTATGATTTTTCATCCTTTTCCCATGTTCAGAAGCAGCAGATGCCTCCAGGGTTAAATGACCACGCAAGGACAGCTTCCCTTTCTTTTTTTTTTTTTTTTTTTTTTGTATTTTTACCGGTATCGGGGATCGAACTCACGACCACAGGCTTATGAGGCAGGCATTCATGTTGCTGAGCTAAATCCCCAGCCCCTAGCTTCCCTTTCTTAGATTCTTCACTTCCTGGAGACTTAGCCTCCCAGTGCTTAGTACTTCAACAGCTCTGCTGTCATGACACAAATGATTTCTGAGTTTTAGCTGACTTTTTGGTAACATCACTCCTCAAGTTCTGTATCCTCAGATTCAATAAATCATGGCTTGAAAATGTTAAGGAAAAACGTATTGTACTGAACATGTGCACACTTTTCTTGTTGTTCCCTAACTAATTCACCCTAATAATTATTTACATAGTGTTTATAAGTTCTTAGGCATTGTAAGTGATCTGCAGATGATACAATGGTGTAAAGTATATGGAAAAATAGAAGTAGTTTATATGCAGAAATGACACCATTTTATACAAAGGCATTGAGAGCCATGGATTTTAGTACTAGGGGAAGTTCTGGTCCAATGCTCCATTAATAGGAAGTGACAACTGTGGTTCTAGACACAGATGCTGACCTTCCGTGAGCTGTCCTTTTCTACTTGAAAGTAAACGTTTGGGCTTGTGTATTTTTATAGCTGACAGCTAAGACAAGACTTGGAACCTGGACAGCGCTCTATAAAGCTTCACAAATTAATGGGTAAATGAATAATGATTGATTTAACTCGCAGTTTTCTACTCGAATGAAAGAACAATTAAGCTGTTTAATTCAACAAAGTGAGTAATCCAGAGATCTTTTCTACTTGGCTTTTGTATGTCTTGTTCACGCTTTTACAACCTTATTGAGGTATAATCAACACACAACCAACTGCAAATACTTAGCTTTACAATTTTATTAGATTTGACACATGTACATACCACCACACTGTCAATGCAATCACGACCGTGAACATACCCAGCTGGTGCAGTGGTACACGTCTGCAATCCCAGCTCTGATTGAGAGGTTGAGGCAGGAAGATCACAAGTGCAGACCTAGTGTGGGCAACTTAGCAAGACTGTCTCAAAAGTTTAAAAACTTAGGAGCTGGGGATTTAGCCCAGCGGCATAAGCGCCTGCCTTGCAAGCAGGCAGTTGTGAGTTTGATCCCTGGTACCGGTAAAAAGGAAAAAGACAAAAAAAAAAAGGTTTAAAAACTTAAAAAAGGGGACTCCATGCCTACCATATACAAGGCTCTGGGTTCAGTCTGCAGGAACACACACACACACACACACACACACAAGATCGTATCCATCATCTCCACGTTCCCTCCTGTCACCCTGTAATGGCTCATCTTCCCTCCCCGTACCCACCCTAAGCTGCCACTCTCAGTTTTCTTTCATTATATGTTGCTTGTCATTTTCTACAGTTTAGTGTCCTTGGCATGATGCAGCATGTACTTTTGATTGGCCTCTTTTATTCCACCTAATTACTTTGATGTGGTTGCACGTAGCAATGGCTTACTTTTATTCTTTTTAAATTCTGAATATATTCCATTATATGGTGATGCTGTGTTTTGTTCACCTGTTGGTGGCTAGCTGGGCTGTTTCCAGGTTTAGCTATTATGGATAAACCTGCAGAGAACATTCACACACAAGCCTTTGTGTGGACATGTGATTTCATTTTTCTTAGGGACCTAGAAATGAAATAAGTCATAGAGTAGATACATGTTCAGCACTCTAAGAACCTGCAAACTCGTTTCCAAGTTGGTTGTTTTAGTTTGTATTCCCAGTAGTAGTATATGACAGTAACATGTATGCATGCTAAAGCGTGGATCAGTGTAACACATCGTAGGTATTCTGTTAGATATATAACATACAATAGTGTCTTGCTGGTTGCAGTTTGTGCTTTCCTAATTACTAGTGATGCCGAATATTTTTTACAGGCTCATTTACATCCATATATCTTCTTTGGTGAACTGTCTTTACAAATTTTTAAATCATTTTTATGTATGAGTCAGATTAAATTCAGTTAGATACTTTCTTTTTTTGAGTCAGATTAAATTCAAGGCCTTCACACTGAACCACATCTCAACCCTCTTTTTGTGTTTTTTGTTTCGAGACAAGGTCTTGCCAGGTTGCTAAAATGCCCAGGCTGAGTTCAAACTTGTGGTCCTCTTGTTTCAGCTTTGAATTTTCTCATGCTGGATTTACAGGATTTACAGGATGCACCACCTTGCCTGGCTGTCTGGGCCTGTTTTTAAATCGAGTTTTACAGTTAGTAAAACTATCATTTCAGGTTAATCTTTTTATATAGTACAAGATATGCACTGAGGCTTATTATTGTTATATGAATATTATAAGTATTTCAGTAGCATTTGTTGAAAATACTATTCTCTTTCTACTGAATTTCCTTTATACCTTAGATGTACCTTGTCATCTATGTGTGAATTCATTCTGGACTTTCTGTTCTGTTGATCTGTTTCCATCTGCACGCTATAATAACATGACCTTGATTAGTATAACTTTATATAAGCTCTTGAAATCAATGTTAGTCCTCCAACTTTGTTCTTTTTTTGAAATTGTTTTAGTTATTTTAGGCCCTTCGTATTTTCATATGAATTTTAGAATCAGCTTAGTTCTACTAAAAAAAAAAAAAAGAACAGAAGTCTGCTGGGATCTTGGAGATGATTGTGTGTAATCCCTAGATCAATTTGAAAAGTGATATCTTAATAATGAGTCTTTGGACACATGACCATTGTGTATCTGACATTTTTGTCAGGTTATCCCTAAGCATTTAATACTTTTATGTTATTGTAAATGTAAATTTTAATTTCAGCTTCAACCTGTTAATTCTTACTATGTAGGAATATAATTTATTTAGAGTTGTACAACCTGGCTAATTTATTTACAGTTCTAGTGGGTTTCTTGTTTGTTTTGCTTTGTTTTTGCTTTTGTAGATTCCTTTGGGCTTTTTTACATAGAATCGTGTCTTCTGCTCTTGCTTTCTGACTTAGATGCTTCTTATTACTTTTCTTGTCTGATTGTGCTCGCCGGCACCTCCAGGACCATGTTGAATGAACTAAGCTTTGATGATTCAAGTCCTTTATGGAATTGCTCATTTCATTTGTATTAAAAATTTTGATATAAAACATTCATAATATTCTATCTTCTCAATATTTGTAGAAACTAGTGATTTCACCGCTGGCGTGTGTGTTTTCTGGTTTTGTTTTGTTTTCCCTTTTTACCGTCTTCTCATTTTTATCAATCTTCTCAGAACACTACATTTTTATTTAACGTTTTTCCTCTGTTGCGTTTGTTTCATTGATTTTTACTCTAATCTTCAGTGTTTCCTTTCTTCTGCCTACGTTGCACTTAATTTCCTCTTGTTCTGCTGTCTTAAAGCAGAAGCTCACCTTGGTGATTTGAAGCCTTTCTTACATTTATTTATTTGGCTGGTTGGTTTTTCTGGTGCTGGCGATTGACCCCAGGCCTTGGGCACAGTATGAAAACTCTACCACACAGCCACATCCCCAGCCCTCTTTTGTTCTAGTATAGATATTTAGTGCTATAAAATTTCCTCTAAGAAGAACTGCTCTAACACTTCCCACAAATTTTGTGTTTTCATTTTCATTCAGTTAAAAATATTTCCTGTTTCTCCCTTTAAGCTCTTCATTGACTCGTGTGCTATTTAAAGCGTGTTGTAAAGTTTCCAGATATTTGCGTGTTTTCCCGATGCCTGTCATGTGTCTCCTTCCCTGCCTCTGTCTCTCTTGCTCATGCTGATGCTAAATTGAATTTCATCGCGGTCAGAAAACATACTGCGTGTGATTTAAGTCCTTTTCCATTTATGCAGTCTGGTTTTATGGTCCGTTTTAAGGCCTGTCCTGCCAAGTGTTCCCTGTGCCCTTGGGAAGAGTGTATTGGTCTCTCATTTGGTGGAGTGGTCTATTCGTGTTAAGCAGATTGAGTTGATTGTGTTACTCGAGTATTCCAGATTCTTACTGGCTTTGTCTTATTGTTCTAGCAGTTATTATAAGAAGGGTATTGAAATGTTCAGTTATAATTGTGGATTTATCTGTTCAGTTTTTCTGTGCTTTCAGCTTTTGCTTCATGTATGAAAAACCTCTGTTATTAGGTGCACAAACATTAAAACTGCTGTATTCTTTTGACGCAGTGACCTATTTATAATTTGGAAATTACCTTCTTTATCCCTGGTAATATTCTTTGCACTAAAATATGTCACAACCTAATCACTCTTTTGATAATATTAGCATGGTATATCTTTTTTTCTTCTCTACTTTCAATCAATTTCTATCTTTATAGTCAAAGTGATATTCTCAGACCTGGGGATGTAGCTTAGTAATAGAACACTTGCCTAGCATGTGCAAAGCCATCAGTTTAATCCCCAACACTAACTTAATTAATTCAAGTTTAGTCTTCATTTTTAAAAGTCTGACAGTCTCTGCTTTTTAGTTGATGTGTTTCTGTTTATTCCTGGAGCTTTTTGTTCCTTTATGTAAATTCACGTTTTGGCTGGACTTCCTTTAACTTTGTGTGTGTGTGTGTGTGTGTGTGTGTGTGTGTGTGTGTGCCAGGAGCCAAACTCTGGGCCTTACACTTGCCAGGCAGGCGCTATGCCACTGAGCCACACCCCCGGCCCAACATTTTTTGTAGTGAGGGTTTCCTAGAGATTATTTCAACTTTGATATATCTGGAAAAAAATATTTTGCCCTTGTTTATGTTGGCTAGATCTAGAATTTGGGGATGTTTTCCCAGAATCTAAAATACCGCTCCAGTATTTTCTCACTTGCATTGCTCCCGTGAGAAGTCCGCCACTGGCCTTACCTTTGTGCCTCCGTCTGATAAGTCTCTTTTTCCCAGACTGCCTTTAAGACTTTTCTCTTGGCCCACATTTTGAACAATTCAATTACGACGTGCATCTTTGTGCTTTGATCCCTGTCCTCTTTCTGTGTCCTCCCTCCTGCCAGCAAAGTCCAGGTCCTCTATGGCGGGACCGACCTCTTTGACTATGAGGTGCGCAGGACCTTCAACAACGACATGCTCTTGGCCTTCATCAGCAGCAGCTGCATTGCCGCCCTTGTCTACATCCTCACCTCCTGCTCAGGTAAGCCCTGCTGAGCCCGTGGAGCGGCCCCCTTCTCTCCTTCCAGTGCGCTCCTGTCTAGAAAGCCTGCATTCGGAAGGATGTCAGCATAGTCTGAAATACGGCTGGACAGAGCTGGCCACAGGGCAGCAGGGGTTGCTCACGGATCACCCTACAGTGCTAGGCAAGCAGGCCTGGAGGCGGTTCTTGAGAGGCGCCTCCCAGGACCTTTTATCTTTGGCCGTTTTTCCCATTGCTAACCTTGTACTGATGAGCTGGACTCTGTTACAGATTAATCGGCAGCCTGTTTAGATCCCCAGTCAGCTGCCCTTACCCTCCAGTTTACTTCCCACCTCCACCGCCCTCCCTGGGCACCCTAGCAGCTCCTTACTGGTTTCTGCATGTACTTGGCACATTCTGTTGCTCGAGTGAACAAGATAAAGTAATGCCTTTAAAAATGGAAAAGCCACTCAGCCATCCATGCAGCAAACCCTAATTGGACACCAACCACACACCTGGTGCTTCAGGACCAGGATCCAGCAGTGACCGTAACACAGTTCCTTCCCGTGGAACTGCTGGCCACTTGCAGGTGGCAGACGCTGCACACATACTGGTCACAGTTCCCTGCTTGTAGTAAATGTAAGTTCTCAAAGATGAGGTGCCATGGGCGCTCTCAGAAGTGGCTTCGTGTGCCACTCAGACTTCCGGGCTGGCTCCTTCCTTTGGAAAGCTGAGGACTGCTCTAGGCCTGTGCCAGAGGGTGCCCAGGCTGGCTCGGGGAATGAAGGGGTCTGTGTTCTGCATAAATCCGCCCCGCAGCAGGGCCCGTGCCCCTTCCTTCCCGCAGTGTTCCTGTCCTTCTTCGGGATTGCCAGCATCGGCCTCAGCTGCCTGGTGGCACTCTTCCTGTACCATGTGGTCTTTGGCATCCAGTACTTGGGCATCCTCAACGGTGTGGCTGCCTTTGTGATAGTGGGCATCGGTGAGTTACCTCCTGGACATCAGAGCTCAGAGGGGTTAGCGAGGAAATGGGGGAAGGCTGAGGAGGCGTAGGCAGGAGGGTGAGATCTGGGAAGGGGCGGCGGCTGCTCAGGTGGGTTTGTCCACGTCGTGAGCTGCGCAGCTGGCTCTCTTGGTGTGTGACCTCGCGGGCTCCTGCAGGTGTGGATGATGTGTTCGTGTTCATCAACACGTACCGCCAGGCCGTGCACCTGGAGGACCCACAGCTGCGCATGATCCATACCATCCAGACGGCGGGCAAGGCCACCTTCTTCACCTCCCTGACCACGGCCGCTGCCTATGCTGCCAACGTATTCTCCCAGGTCAGAGCCGCCCTTGCTCCGAGCTGCTCCCCGCCTCTGTGATCCCCAGTTCCTCTGCCCACCCTGCTGTGGCCACTCCAGGTACCTGCTGGGCCTCCTCAGAGCCCAGTTTGATGCCGTCACCGTCACCAAAGCCTAACAAGAAGGAAAGGATAGTAAAATGATATTATTAACTCTCCCTTTACCCTTGGCATGGATAGTTTCCAAAACTCCTTCACATCTAACCTTTCCTACTCAAGGATTTATTACAGTACCATCCCAATTTTCTAGTACAAAAACGGGCCAGAGAGCTAAAGAGACTTCCTCAAGGTCACTCAGCCAGCAGATAGGAACCTGGCCTCATCTCCTGCCCCTGGCCATTTGCTCCTCTTTTTCCACCTCCTCTCACTGACGTTGGCCTCTGGCTGTGGCTCAAGAAAACGGCTGCGTGTGGGCTGGGTCCTTGGTACTGAAAAAATCGGACACACAGTGGGCCAGCCCTCATCTCTGAGATGTTTGTGACCCGAGCCCAGCAGCCCACCGGGAAAGCATTGGGTGCTGAGACGATCCAGGCCTGTCTTGGGGAGCTACCCCCAGGAAACAGGCAGGGCGGGTTCAGGTCCTGCTGTGTGACTCTGGGCAGGTTCTCAGCCCCCATCTCGCTTGCTCACACGTGGATTATTCTGCCAATCACGGTGCAGGTATTCCACAACAGTGCATGCTTGTCTGCTCATTGGTCCCATGTCCTTCCCACTGGCACATCCCTGGGGAGGTCCATGTGGTCCCCAGGCTCCTTGCTTCTGTCATGCGGTGTCATCCTCTCCCTTTCCCCTGAAAACACACCTTCTGGTCAGCCTGGTCAAGCAGGATGTATCTTCCCTGTCCCCATTCCTTTCAAGTGACGCCCACCCATGAGCCCCATCTCTGGTCAGGGTGGGGAGAGTGCATCCTCGCTGCAGTGCTGCAGCTTCTGGTGGTGCCCTGGGCCCATGCTGGGGTCCAGCAGCCCTGGCCTCCCCGTCCTGCCTCAGTCTGGAGCAGCCTGGGGTTCCTGAGCATCCCTGGCCACAGAGGGGCCTGGGCCTGAGCAGCCCCTCCCCTTCCCGCCTCCAGATCCCGGCCGTGCACGACTTCGGGCTCTTCATGGCGCTCATTGTGTCCTGCTGCTGGCTGGCCGTGCTCTTTACCATGCCCGCCGCGCTGGGCCTCTGGAGCCTCTACCTGGCGCCGCTGGAGGGCTCCTGCCGGGCTAGGTGAGCCGGGTCGCTGCTGCTCAGAAAAGCGGGCTGCTTGCTCAAGGTTGCCTGCTGGGTAGGCGGCAGAGCCGGGGCTTGACCCAGGAACACCTGGTGCGGGCTCTCGTGCTCTCTGCCTCAGGCGACATCCTTGGCTTCTTGGTGGTGGAGATGAGACGGCCCCTCTCCCTGGGCAGCCCCAAATGCAGCGGGCCATGTGTGGGGATGGATGGGCCCAGAGTTGTTGCTGGAGGTCAAGAGAGGCAGCCTGGAAGAGGGGCAGCGGGCAGTCGAGTGGGTCAGACCTGGCTGCCCACCTGGGGCTGGGGGAGCAAGGGCCTTCGAGGAGCTCAGACTTGGGCCTGCGGCAGGCTCCTTCAGGACACCACGTATAGTGGTACAGGCTGGGCACCGTGTGAGGCTGGCCTGGCCAGGCTCGGCTGCCTGCACCATTCAGAGGGGTTATTTCTAGAACAGTCTCATGACGCAGAGTGTTTTGGGAGAAGGGCACTTTTTTATTCTCTCCAGAAAGACCCCCGCCTGGGCCCACCTTGCCAGTAGTCCTAAGACACGGAGGCCTCTGGGTTGCCTTTTCTGTGAAGAGGGTGTCATCACTGCGGGTGTTGGTGTTGTCCTTGGCCCCTGAGTGACCTCTCAGTCCCAGCGCTCACTCTTGTCCCCTCCTGTCTCTGTAGCTGCCACCAGAAGTGTGGCCGCAAGAGCTCCTTGCACTTCCCGGGGGATGTGTTTGCCACCGCTGAGCGGGCTGGGGACAGCCCTGCCCAGGGCCCCATACCCTACCTGGATGACGACATCCCCCTGCTGCATGTGGACGAGGAGCCCGGTGAGAGCTGGCCTCCAGCGCCCTGCATGGGGCTTCCTCGGAGAGGGTGCAGACCAGGCTGGCTTGTCACCACCTCTGACCAGCTGCCGCACTACCCCTGCAGTGTCACTGGAGCTGGGAGATGTGTCCCTCGTGTCTGTGCCCGCCCTTGGCCTGCAGCCAGCCCCCGACACAGACAGCCGGGGCCAGCTTCTCGGACAGCTGCAGGAACTGCTACACCACTGGGTCCTGTGGTCAGCAGTCAAGAGCCGCTGGGTCATCGTGGGTGAGTGCATGCCCCTGGGCCACCCCTGCACCCCTCTCCACCCCAGGACAGGGAGGACAGTGATCTGAGAGCCCTGGGCCAGGGCCTCCCTCTGCACGTCACCTTCTTCCTGTGGAGACAGAGCTGGCCCTGACCGCCCAGGCCGTCGCTTAGTGAGCACCTGCTGTATACCCATCCTGCTGCTGGGCAGCAGAGCAGAGTGCAAGGGCTGAGTCTGGAGACCAGTTTGAGGGACTGGAACCCCAGTCTGCTCTGGGCCGTCTGTGACCCTGTCTAAGCCAGCCTGGCGCTGGGCTTCCTGTTCTGTAGCGGAGGACAGAGAACAGTACTGTGGCTCAGAGGTCACCTTCAGCTAGCACACAGGACGCTTGGCTTCTGGGCGCGACACGCAGACTGTGCCCAGTAAGGGTTTGGTGCATCGTCATCTGCTGTGGTGTCAGAGCCGGGTCTCCCGGAGCTGCTGCTGTGTGCTCAAGACACTGACTGGTCCCAGTCCAGGAAGCAGGGCAGAGGGCGCTGGGGGCAAAATACAGCCCCTAAGGACCCAGCTGCCACCCCAACAGCGTCCGCAGCCAGGGCTGAGCCTTTTAACATACTTTCGGGGCCACTTAGGATCTAAGCCGGAGCTATCAGCTCGTAGCTTCTAATCAGACCCCCCTGGCATCTCGGCTCCTGGACGGAGCAGGCTGGGCCATGTGGACCCTCCCTGGTCCCCAGCACAGTGTCATCCTCCGCAGGGCTCTTCGTGTCCACCCTCATCCTGTCCCTGGTGTTCGCCAGCCGGCTCCGCCCTGCCAGCCGAGCACCACTGCTCTTCCGGCCCGATACGAACATCCAGGTGCTGCTGGACCTCAAGTACAACCTGAGCGCCGAGGGCATCTCCTGCATCACCTGTTCAGGTGAGGGTCCAGTGAGCAGCGCTCCCGACCACTGTGTGACTGCAGGCCGCTGTGTCCCCACATTCCGGTAATCAAATACCCCTGGGTTCGTGCTGCATACTGGCTCTGGGGAAACAGGCAGAAGAGACCAGCTTCCGCTGCTAGGGACAGGCCATTGTAACAGAAGGTTCGGGCTCTGGAGGAAGACAGGGGGCCTTGGGGCAGGATATCATAGAGGGCTTCCTGGTGGAGGCGGCATCTGCCCTGAGACTGGAAGTTCAAGGCCAAGAGGGGAGGGGACAAGAGCTGGACAGGACCAGCCATGTGATGGTGTGGTGGGATCCAGAGGCGAGAGGCGTTCTGGGTGATGTGACTTGCAGAGCGCGTGGCAGGCGGGAATGGGGATGGCAAGGAGGAGGCCTGAGCCCCATGGGCCCCCTCCCCCGTGTGGCCGCCAGAAGGGCTTCAGCTTGGACAGGGCAGCCTCGGCCTTCGCTCCTGCCCTGGGCGGGTCACTCACCACCCTCGTCCAACGCTTCAGGGGGTCGACAGTGATGGTCTCCCAGATTGCACTGAGGGCTGGCACTTTGAACATGGAAGGAGTCTGTCGTCTGAGACACACAGAAGCCGTGTTCCTGCACCCGAGCCTGAGCAGGCCGTCTCCTACCACCTCTGCGGGGTCGGGGCTGAGCTGTTTTCCCAACTCAGGGCCAACTTGAGGGGCGACTTCCTGTTCCGTTCTTGGCCCTGCAGGTGGGAGGTTCGGCCTTGTTCAGCTGACAGGGAGAGAGACTCAGAGGAGACAGGCGGGGTGCCTGCCTCCAGGTCCCCTCAAGATGGGCCTGGCCAGGGTCAAAATCCACCCTCCCATGTGTTTGTCAGTTCAGCCAAGACCCTTCGGTCCCTGACACCCCTGGCCCCCGAGCCCGGCCAGGGAAGCCTGCTGGCCCTGATGCGGTGGGGGACAGGTCTGTTCCAGGAGAAGCCTCACAGCCTGCAGAGCAACATCGGGACATCGCTGGAGAAAAGGAAGCGAGGCTCTGGGGCTCCCTGGGCCGGCCGACCTGAGGCCACCCCACAGGGTAAGGACTGGGGACAGGTATGCGGACCTGCAGGGCAGGGCAGGGTGTGAAATTCATCCTGATTCTCCCACAGGCTTGAGCACCTAAGTTCCCGGGACCACTGGGAGCTGGACGTGTGGGGGACTTGGGGCCCCATCGTAGCAGCTGCCCCAGGCCTGAGCACTGGGCTTTCCTTACTGTGGCTCAGCCTGGCCCGGAGTGCCCAGGAACCTGCCACCCCGAGCGTCTGGAGGGGCGCCTGAGCCCTGGAGGCTGGCTGAGCCCTGCAGGGGTGGCCATCAGGACAAGGGAGATGCCGCGGGAAGGACCATCTATGGGCAGTTCCATTGCATCCCTGCCACCCTGTGGCACTGTCGCCATGTCTGCCCTGCCCTCCGTGGTCATTACCGCCAGTCCAAGGCCCGGGCTTCCCTCATCGGTGCACAGAGCTGACGTGGGGCTGCTCCCGAGCACACAGGCTGTCCAGGTGACTGTCCGCTCCTCTCCATCCTGTTTGTCCCCAGACATGGCAAGCACTGTGTACATCTCCAAGGTGAAGAATAAAGGTCGCCCAGCTGTCTACAGGCTGTCCCTCAATGCCAGCACACCCGCCCCGTGGCAGGCCGTGGCCCCTGGGGACGGAGAGGTGCCCTCCTTCCAGGTAAGCTCGGGCTGTCGTCAAGTGAGCCGTTGCCGTCGCCACTGCTGCCACTGAGAAGGGCACCTCAGTGCCACCCTGGTGGGCATGGGCCACACTGGAGGGGGAGCCAGGGTCCTTAGGCAGCAGTGCCAGCCTTTTTGGATCCAGGAACTGGTTTAGGAGAAGACAGTTTTCCACAGACCCAGGAGGGGAAGATAATTTCCGTCCAGATGCTTCAAGCCCGTTGAATTCAGTGCACGCTTTATTTCTGTTGTTGTGACATTAGATTCTCACAGGGAGGCACTACCTGTGACCCTCGCACACGGGTGCCTGTAGGGTCTGCTCCGATGAGAATCTAACGCCCGCTGGTCTGTGAGGAGGCTGCATGCAGGCAATGGATGGAGCCAGGGGCCGGGGCCGGGCTGGCTACCCTGTCCTCAAGGATGGGGCGGCCACTAGCAGAGCAGGACACGCCCAGCCCCTTGTCATCCAGGCCTGTCACAGCCACCTGCAGAGTGGCAGCAGCCAGGAGTTCCAGATCAGCCTGGTCTGGGTTCGAGTCCTGGCTCTGCCTTGCACAGCCTCTCTGTCTCTGGGCAGATTACCTCATCTCTCTGAGCCTCAGTTTCCGCTTCTGGGGAATGGGGATATAAACAGCACCAGCTGGCCTCGCTGGAGGGTATGGTGCACACGGGGACACGACAGATGCCCGGCAGGTAGAGGCCATCAGCGTGTCTTCATGTTCTTGGCAGCAGCTGCAGCACCCTAAGGAGCTCCCCAGGACAGCCCAGATCCCTCTTTCCCTTCACAGGGACCCTGTGTTCCTTGAACATGTCACACCCTGGGTGACGGCCACACATGCCCCCCACCGGTTCAAGGTCTATGTTTCTCTTGCTGTTCCAAGTTGCCCTTCACTGCATGACCTCTGCCCGAGAGTCTCCTACAGCCCCACGGGTGGCTGCCACCTGAGTCCTCACCCGGGCTGTGGCACAGGTGTCACCTCCCCTACTGCCCTGTCGTGCCTGGCCCCCTCCTGGGTGCCCTCCTCTTCCCTGCCTTTCGTCTTCTGAATGTCTCAATTGTCTAAACCCAGCCCTGGCCAGAATCAGGTCAGGTCTCTGCCCATCCTAACTCCCAGAGGAGAGGGACCTGCGCGTGCCACTCACCGCTGTGTCCTTAGAGCCTGACCCTTTGCCTGGCACAGAGTTGATGCCCAGCGAGCATTTGGTGAAGGAAGAAATGAGGCTCAGAAGGAGGAAAGGATTTGCCCAGTTTGCAGACTCAAACCCAGGCGCCCTCAGCCTCTGCCCAGAGCGCTGACCCCACTCTGGGCTGGGGCAGGTGGGATCAAGCGAGGAGGGAGGGGACCGACCCGAGGCCTGGCGGGCCAAGGCCGCCTCCCCGAGTCACGTGTCTTGTCTCTGTCGATCCACTGCTTAGGTGTATAGAGCGCCTTTTGGTGACTTCACCAAGAAGCTGACCGCTTGTATGTCTACAGTAGGGCTGGTCCAGGCCGCGAGCCCCGCCCGCAAGTGGATGCTGACGACCTTGGCCTGTGACGCCAGGCGGGGCTGGAAGTTTGACTTCAGCTTTTACGTGGCCGCCCAGGAGCAGCAGCACACCCGGTAACAGCCTCGCGGATGGTGGCGCTGAGCTCTCTCCTCTCTCCCTCCCTCCGTCTCTCTCCTTCTCTCTCTGTTTCACATGACAGATGCCACCAGGCACTTTCAGGAAGCTGCTGTCCATCTCCACGTACTTCTTCAGACGTCTTTGTGCCCAGGGCTGGGGCGGGTGACACTGGCAAAGGGGACAGGCCCGTCATCTGCCCACCCACTCCCCTGCTGTCCCCCACAAGGGCTGTGCTGCCCGTGTCACCCTGTACTCAGGGTTCCACCCCCAGGCCTTTGCATGTGCCGTCTCTTTGGCCCAGAATGCTCTTCCAGTTCCCATGGGGTTGGCTTCCCAAGATTCAGGCATCACCCAAACCTCACCTCCTGGGAGAGGCCGCCCCGAGCAGAGCTCCCTCATCCAGAATCACCTGCCCGAGAGCATCGTCCACTGCTCCCCCTGGCCCTGTCACAGTTGTGACCTGTCTGTCCCCAGAACTGGTCCCCATCCTGCAGAGCACGTTTGCCCCTTATGTGTCCCCAGCACTTGGGCAGGAGCTGGCACCCAGCAGGCCCTCGGTGAACCCTTGCCCAGTGAGGAAGCAAGTTCCTTCCGCACTTCCTCCGAGGGTGGACCCACGCTCTACCTGTTGTTTAATGTGGAAAGTGTCCCTGTCCTCTGGGCTGCAGTACAGTGAGGGGCTGTGTCACACTCACCATTGGTCTTTTCACTGGCTCCGTGTGGGGCTGGGGGACAGGGATGAGCCACACACATGCGGCTGCTGCCTGTGGGCACCCACGGGAGACGGGCAGCTAACGAGTGAACAGCAGTATGAACACAGCACCGTGCGTGCTAGGGGAGAGACACACGGGACACACGGGGCCCAGGGCGTCTGACGAGACTGGCTTCAGGCCGTCAGGGTCCCACACAAGGTCCCTGAACGTGGAGGGTAGAGGAGACAGCTTGCGGTCAGGGTGGCTGAGATGGCTCGGACCACGTCCCTTCCAGGGCTGGGCAGGCTCTGCACACGTGCAGGGCGGCCTGAGCTGCCTGGGTGAGTGTGAAACTTTCTAGAAAGAGCCCTGAGCTCCATCAGGTCCGGCAGTCTAGCCTGCTTGCCATGGAGCCCTTTTTCAGACAGCTTCTAATTGAGCTCAGGCTGGGATCTGCACCCTTGTGCCACCCCCGCCCCACCCCCACCAGGGGGCAATCCGAGCACGCGGCTTCCCCTCCCCGGGCAGGCTGGGATGAGATGGGTCTGTAGGCCCTGGCACTGCTTGCAGCCTCAGCCCCGCCTCCCTTGCCTCCCACAGGAAGCTGTACTTTGCCCAATCCCACAAGCCCCCCTTCCACGGGCGCGTGTGCACGGCACCCCCCGGCTGCCTGCTCAGCTCCAGCCCTGACGGGCCAACCAAAGGCTTCTTCTACGTGCCCAGCGAGAAAGGTACCCACAGACCACTCCTGTGGGGCTGGGGACCCGGGGAACCCGGCCTGCCCTCCTTACAGCCCTGGCTCCTGCTGCAGTGCCCAGGGCCCGCCCCTCGGCCACATTTGGCTTCAACCCCTGCGTGAACACGGGCTGCGGGAAGCCGGCGGTGCGGCCTCTGGTGGACACCGGGGCCATGGTCTTCGTGGTCTTTGGCATTCTTGGCATCAACCGCACCCACCAGCTGGACAACCACGTCCTTGGAGAGCCGGTACGCTGGCCGCCAGCCCAGCCCCTCACAACCCAGACAGACGGGATGCTGGAGAGCCCTGTCCAAGCCCCGATGCTCAGGCAGGGCTGACTCAGACTCTCCTGGGAGCCCGGGGCCCCTGAGGGGTGGGACAGAGAGGCGGGGTACACACAGAGAACCCCTGCCTCGTCCTGCGCCTGGAGGGTGGGCAGCTTCACCCTGCCCTTCCTCCATGCTCCCCGCCCCACAGTGTCCCCTTGGCTCTGGGACTGAGCTCGGGGCAGAAGCTCCGGAAACCATGGGTTAAGCCAGGACCATCGACTAGTACTGAGGCTTCGTGGTACACGAGCCCAGGGACATGCCGGCCACAGTCGAGCCAGGGGCACAGGACGGCCACTGTGGCCTTGGTCAGGGGCAGGGTGGGGAAAGGAAGGTGGATCTGCCCGTGCTGAGAGCAGGAACCCACCCTGGAGGGGAGGAGGGCAGGTGCTGCTGGCCCAGGAGGCTGTAGCCGCCCCAAGGGAGGAAAGGCAGGGGCCCAGCAATGGGGAAAGGTGCTGTGTGGGGGGCAGAGCGAGATGGACAGGGTCGGCGGGCGACCGTGTGATACTGATGGCTGTAGCCGGGAGCCACTGGAGGCTCTGACCGGGCTGGGTGGTGGAGGTGGAGCCCTGGACCGAGTCCCCGACTCACTGAGGAGCCCGGGCCATCTGTGTCTCCTTCGGAAAGGGCAGCGTCATCTACGACAGCAGCTTTGACCTCTTCAAAGAAATCGGGCACCTGTGTCACCTCTGCAAGGCCATCGCTGGCAACTCAGAGCTGGTGAAGCCCGGCGGGGCCCAGTGCCTGCCCTCAGGTGCGTAGATGTGGTCCGGGAACCCAGAGCCGGGGCTCATGGCCCTGCAGACGGGGTACTGCAGGGAGGGTTCGGAAGTCGGGCCTGGGGCTGAGCCCTCGGGGCTGTCCTTGGAGAGCCCCGAATGTCACCGTCCACCCCGCCCGCTCCTCACCAGCACCCCTGTCCCCGTCCCCAAAGGCTACAGCATCTCCACCTTCCTGCGGATGCTGCACCCAGCGTGCAAGGAGCTGCCTGAGCCCAACCTTCTGCCCGGGCAGCTGTCCCACGGGGCGGTGGGCGTCAAGGAGGGCCGCGTGCAGTGGATCTCCATGGCCTTCGAGTCGGTGAGCCCGAGCACCCCGCTGGGCGCCACACACAGTGACTGTCTTGAACTGGTGCCACCTCAGAGTCGCAAGGGGCACTGAGGACTTTGCCCGGGGACGCAGGGTTAGTGGGTGCCAGCATCAAGTGACAGACAGTCCTGCCCTGGACTGCAGAGCTCCACCCTTCCTGCCCCAGGCCACTAGCCCACACCCCTGTCCCCGCTGACCAGGTTTGTGTCATGAACAGCCACCAAGCTGGAGGCTGCTGGAGCCTGGGGCGCTGCCCCTGCCACTGTGAGGTCAAGGTCAAGGCCACAGATGTGCTGGGCCTCACCGGTGGCCACAGAGGACTTGTCAGAGCAGCCGCCTACATGTCCCCCCCCCCCCCGCCTCCTATGTCACCTCTGGACACTCGAGTGCCATGGAGGGGCAGGCACACTCACATGCACTCACACACGCGTGCACCCCTCAGACCTGGGCCCTGAGGCTTGGTAAGGGTCCAGCCCAGACCTCCCCGGAACCGAAGGAGCTCAGTGTCCTCACGCAAGTCACCTGTCGCCCTGACCCCAAGTGCCTCACCTGCAGAACAGGTCTGAAGGCCCCTCCCCACAAGCACAGGAAATAAAGGGGGTGCTCAAGGGGTGAGAAGACTGGTGATCAGATGACAAGCAGCAGGCAGTGATGCCTCTCTCCAGCCCTCCCTTCTAGGCAGGGGAGCCTCTGGGCATTGGACAGAAGCACCCCAAGACCCTCGCACCTCTCTTGAGCCCCATGCTAACACAGAGGCCAGGACAGAGCCCCAGACAGCCTGTCCTGTACAGTTGTCTGTTCATTTACTGAGGCAAAACAGGTATTATCAGACCGACCAACCTACGTGGCCAGTTTTTAACATGGTTCAGTGACACAAAGAACTCTCTGGTGACCGTCATCGCCGTCCACCCCTAAGGCTTTTCCTCTTCCCCAGCTGAAACTGTCCCATCTCTCCTCCCAGCCCCGGTACCCCAGTTCCACACTCTCTGTATTTACTCTAAATATTTCACACAGCTGGAACCACAGAGACTCGTCCTGTTCATCAACCTCAAGTACCCAGGTCACTCTGGGCTCATGGCACCCAGGGCAGGGCGTCCACCTCCACGCTGACCCCAGCAATGCTCACAGACGCACACAGACACACATACGCACACATGGGAGGCTGGTTCATGTTTAGCCAGGGCAGAGCTCTCTCTGCTGTGCGGGTGGGGAGCGCAGGGGCTTCTGGGAGCTGAAGTGGCTTTTCCACTGGGAAAGGTCAGGGCCATCCGTCCTGCCACTGTGAGACTCAGGTGCTGTGTCCAGAGGCCAGAGCGGCTCTCGGGCTGGGTCATTGCTCAGTCCCATAGTCCACGGGCTCTGTAGGGGCCCAGCGTGGGAGGGCAGGCAGGCCACAGCCCTGCCTTCTCACCAGCCCTGTCTCTGCAGACCACCTACAAGGGCAAGTCCTCCTTCCAGACCTACTCGGACTACCTGCGCTGGGAGAGCTTTCTCCAGCAGCAACTGCAGGCCCTCCCGGAGAGCTCAGCCCTGCACCACGGCTTCCAGACCTGCGAGCACTGGAAACAGATCTTCATGGAGATCATAGGTGAGCACAGGAAGGGCGGGCACGGGGCGGGCTGGGGCGGTCTCCTGGAGCCGTGCTCTTGTCACTAGTCCTGGCCAAGGGCCTGGGAGACATCACATAGCAGCTGGCACCTTATCAGAGGCCAGGGCTGGGTCCACCCTGCTTAGAGGCTTCTGGCCACATAGTCTGGTCTTGAATTTGGCCACCTACAAGGTAACAGTCGTGCCCATGGGCAGCTGGTGTTATAGGCCCTTTTGAGCTGCCAGATCTCGTGTTAGCTCTTGAATTTCAAGTGAGCCCCTTCGGTGGGAGAGGGCTGGTCCTGTCACTGGACAAAGCTCACATGGCCTACAGTAGCACCACTGGCTGTGGCCGCCCATCTGTGAACTCCTGCAATGTCGAGGCCAGGGGCCGGGGGCCACAGGCTCCTCGCCCTGCAGCCCCTAAGGGCACCCTCTCCCTTCCCAGGAGTGCAGAGCGCCCTGTACGGCCTGGTCCTCTCCCTGCTCATCTGTGTGGCCGCGGTGGCCGTGTTCACCACCCATATCCTGCTCCTGCTGCCCGTGCTTCTGAGCATCCTAGGTAGGTGGGTGAGGGGGTGACGGGCTGGACCAGGGGAGCAGGAACAGGCAGGGTCTCCCTGTTGGCCTCGGGTCAGCCAGTTGCTCTCATGACCGCCTCCACCCAGGCAAGCAGTCCCTTGGGGACCTGTACCTCTAGAGGAAGCAGGTGTCCCTCTGGAGCAGCGTTCAGCTCGGTACTGCAATTGTCCCCTCCCTCCAGCCCGGGCTCTTGCCTTTCCTGCCACCCAGGGTGGAGGCTTAGCTGTAGCTGTGCCCACTCCCCAGGGGCGCTCCAGGGTCTTGCGGCAGGGCCGGTCCCAGCTGCCACCCGCCACCCCGCAGGCATCGTCTGCCTGGTGGTGACCATCATGTACTGGAGTGGCTGGGAGCTGGGCGCCGTGGAAGCCATCTCGCTGTCCATCCTGGTGGGCTCCTCCGTGGATTACTGCGTGCACCTGGTGGAGGGCTACCTGCTGGCTGGAGAGAACCTGCCCCCCCACCAGGCCGAGGTGAGCACCCTCCTTCTCCCCCAGGACAGCTGTGTCCTAAGCAGGCCGTGTTCTAGGACTGGGGGCTCCCAGTGCTGGCCTGCATGGCCCTGAGACCCACATACTGCCCATGCAGCTGGAGGGCACTTTGGGGCTCCAGCCTGGATCTCCCCAGTGGACAGAGGCCCTTCCTGCCCTTCCAGCTGGGCCCCAAGGCCACAAACTCCCTTCCAGCTCTCTCTGGCTCATGGACTCAGCTAAAACCAGCTCAGGCCTGGTGAAGTTGTTCGTGCATTTGCTTTTTTTCCTAGGTTGAGATTGAATTGGTTTCAAGACATTCATAAACATGTAAAAACGAAGTTATATATTAATTACTTTCAGCCAAAAGAACAAATTGAGCCAAGTGTGGTACCACGCACCTATCATCCCACCTACCAGGAGGCTGAGGCAGGAGGATCACAAATTCAAGGCCAACTTAGAGAGGACCTGCCTCAAAATATATATAAAGGGCTGGGGGTGTAGCTCAGAATGCTTGCCTAGCATGCAGAAGGCCTGGGATTCCATCCCCGGAACCACCAAAAAAATGTTCAAACCAGGACCCCCATTTCTGCAGATCCCCTAGCCCCTGACAGCGTCACTGCACCCGTGAAGTCACTCGGCTGTCATTCACTTAGATGGCAGGAATCGGGGCCTGGGGACGGGCTGGCCTTGGGTGGGAGGGTCCCCCAGTGGGCGGAGCTTCAGCTGTTACTCTGCCGTCCCAGGACCCCTGCGCACAGCGCCAGTGGCGGACACTGGAGGCCGTGCGGCACGTGGGCGTGGCCATCGTGTCCAGCGCCCTCACCACCGTCATCGCCACCGTGCCGCTCTTCTTCTGCATCATCGCCCCCTTCGCCAAATTCGGCAAGATCGTGGCACTCAACACGGGCGTGTCCATCCTCTACACGCTCACCGTCAGCACTGCCCTGCTGGGCGTCATGGCCCCCGGCTCCTTCACCCGGACCAGGACTTCCTTCCTCAAGGCCCTGGGCGCTGTGCTGCTGGCGGGGGCCCTGGGGCTGGGCACCTGCCTCGCGCTCCTCCACAGTGGCTATAAGATCCCCTTGCCCAGTGGGGCAGCCCTATAGCCCCGCTGGGTCCTGACTGATGCACCTCGGCCTGGAGGGTAGGGCCCAGCCCGCCCAGAGACCCTGGAGTCCCAGCCTGGCCACCCTGGAGTCCACACCACGTGCCTACATTGTAGGCGTCACAGCTAGAGCTGAGCTGGGGCTGATGGCAGCTGCCACCATGCCCAGCTGAGCCTCAGGCAGCCTTGCTAGGCTCTGTCCACAGTGCCCCGGTCCAGCCCTCCTCCTGTGCCCAGTCACCAGGGGGCAGGTGATCACCTTGGGGGCTCTCCCCTCACATGTCCAGTGCTCACAGCCTGCAGGAGTAGGGGTTTTGAGTGCCCCATTCTACAGACGTGGAAACTGAGGCACCGGGGAGCACAGTGACGGTCCTGGGGCTGGATTAGCACAGAGCCAGCAGTGCCACCAAGGCCAGACTTCTGCAGGAAGAGCACAGAAGGTTCAAGTGGGGACCTCACGTGTCTGCTCCTTGTCCTCTCCCCTCATCTTTGGCCACTGCTGGGTGACACCTGCATCCTCTGTAGGCCGTTTGTTGCAGGCCATGAGGGCAGGGGCACCAGCCTGGGGTTGTGCATGTCCCAGTCCTGGCCCCGAGCTGGGGCTGCCTCCCGAGGCCCTCCTGGGCTGAGGTTCAGCATGACTTTCCGCACAAGCCCAAGCCCCATCTCCCCTGACGCGGCTCCGAGGGTGATTTGTGGGGGCAGCCTGGTGGGGAGAGCTGGCAGGGCCCGGCGCCCGCTCATGGCAGATGGTTCCTATTAAAGCGAAATGAAACTGCAGACCGCCGCTGTTAACACGAGCATTTGAAGCTCGCTGGCTCCATCCCATTCGTCACACCGAAAGAGCTGCGTGCTCGCCGTGCCCGCCCGAGCCTCAGACGGAGCTGGCCTGGCCCTGGACGCACTCGGAGGGGGCGTGTGTCCAGGCCTCCTGGGAACAAGGTTGCGTGTGTCCCGGGGACCTCTGCCCTGGGAGGAGGGCCCAGCTGGCTCATCGGGTGGGCCGTTCATGAGCCTCCTGAATGCCTGGCTGTCTTTCTTGGGAGTACCTGATGCCCTCTGAGTGTTGTGGCACTGGACACTGAGCTGGGCCTAATCCCTGAAGGTGAGAAAGGAAGCTAGAGTGGTCTCCAGGACAGATGTGCACCACTGTCCCCACCTTCTGCCCGCCTGGTGGGGAGCAGTGCTTGGTGTTCGTTGAAGGAATATCAGACCTACGGACCCACCCTCTATGGCGAGGAAATCAAACAAGCCATTAGCGGTACCCCCTGGCACCCAGCACTGGGTCCTCTTCTCTGGGTTGGTTTTTGTTCTCTAGCTGCCAGGATAAAGCACCAGCTGTTGGCTCACAGCAGAAGTGGGTCCTCTCCCAGTTCGGAGGCTGCATCTCCGAAATGAAGGTGTTGGCAGGGCCGGTTCCTTCTGGAGGTTCTGGGCCTCTCCTGCCTCTGCTGGTGGCACCATCGGCTCGAGGAGACGGCACTGTAGACTGCCCTCACCTTCGCATCCGTCCTGATTCTCTCCACAGCTGCTTCGTTATGATAGGGACCTCAGCCACGCTGGGTCAGGTCCCACCCTATTTCATTTTAGCCTGGTCAGCAGCAAAGACCATGTTTCTGAACAACTCGCGTCCAGCAGTGCCAGGGTCAGAGCTTAGGTGTCCTTTGGGGGAGGGGATGTCCTTTATTGCGCAGCAGATTCGAGGCACAGTCACACCCGTCCCACACGTGGGGAAGCCAAGGCCCCGAGGTGCTGACTTGCCTGGATGTGCAGCTAGGCACTTGGGAAGCCATGCTTGGTCTCCGGTGTACATAGCCACTCACTACAATCGTCACCAAGGCTGGCCCAGGGATGTAGCTCAGTGGCACAGCATCCTCCTGGCAAACACGAGGTTGTGAGTTCGATTGCTGGTACCAAAAAAAATCATCGTGAATGGTAGTTACAGGGGGGTCTAAGGCTGGCGGTGACAAGGAGAAGCCTGTTCTCCAAATGCCCCTTGTGTTTGTGAAAGGCTGTAGGGTGGTTTTCCCTGACCTCTCCCTGCAGAGTGCGGAGCTTATGGGAGGAGGCATGGGGAGCTGGGAGGGGCCTGCAAACTGACAGGGCACCCAGAAAGAGCTTGGAGAAAGGGCTGTTGTCTCAAGGCCTTGTCCGAGACAGCTCTGCTGCAGAAGTGGGTCCTTGTGCATATCATTTGCATGCAGCCTGCGTGAAGCTGCTCCGTAAACTGCCCTCTCCTGGCTCATTCACTTTTAAGGACAGCTCTGTCTCCTTCCCTCTGGCTTCTACCTTTTCCGTGCCATGGCGGGTTGGGGGATTAGGCGGTCAGAAGTGGAGGAGCCCACACCATCTGCCACTGCCCCCCCTCCAGGGTGGCCAGGGCTCCCTGGCAGCTGCTGTGACCCTCAGGACTCCTGAATATTGGGTGCCCTTTGGGACACAGCAAGGGGACACTGCTCAACTTCCCATCTGCATCCCCCCACCTGGGCACGCGTGTCCTTGTCTCTCAGGCCCTGAGAGGGGACTGCTCTGTCCCACTCCCCACATCCCAGAGCAGGATGAGCCAAGCCTGGGGGAAGGACCCAAGTGACAACTGGGCACTCCAGGGAACTCTGGCCACACAGCTGGCTGCCTCCTCACCTGCGGAGAGGTCAGCCATCATCTGGTTAGTGACAGTTGATGCCACAGAGTCCCAGAGGCACCAACTCCCACGCAGAGAAGCTTGACCTTCGATTGCTGCGGCTGCGGTCCTAATGAGCTTTGCCAAGCTTAATGAGATGCTCTGTGCTCCCCGGGGTACAGCAGCCAGCCGGGATGTGAGTGCCAAGGTGGCACGGCCCTGCGGGGGGGAGGGGCTGGGTGCGCTAGGGAAGCCCAGGGAGTGGACCCGCTGCCTGTCACCAGGAGATGTCCGAGAAAGGCAGTTTTTCTGGGTCCCATCTTGCTGGGCCCTGTCCGTCACTCTCGGGGACCCTCAGCCTGCCAGGGGGAGGGCCTTGTGTTGTTGCTGCCGCTAAGGCTGAAGCCGCAGAGCCAAGCTATGTTCCTGTCCTCCTCCTCGGTTGCCATGAGCCTTGAGAAAGGATGGGGCTGTGCCCACCCCAAGCCTGGGGAAGCGGACATTTACCCTGAAGAGATTGGAGAGACGGTAAAGGGGTGTTAAAGGCAGAAGGCCCTTTCCTACCTGGTTGGTAGGAAGCTGGGTTTGCCGGGGTGGTGCAGGGAAACAGCTTCTCTCGTGCGGTGCCCATGGGACCCTAACTGGTTCAGCCGCGGACGGAGACTCAGCAGTCACTACCACAGTGACCATGGCATGGCCCTTGTGACTCAGCAGTCCAGCTTCTGAGGACTCAGCCTGCAGGTGGCCAAGAACAGAAGCTGCTTACTGAAGACTTGTGGGATAGCACAGAACTGCAGTCCCCAAATGTCCCTCGGCTCAGGGACCCATAAAGTGACAGCCCACTCAGACAGTGAGGTACTCTGCAGCCATGAATGGCTAACGAGGGAGTTTTCCTTGTGCCAAGATGGAGAAATTGCCAAGGTGCATTAACTGGGGGAGAAGAGCTTGGACAGCCGTGTAAAATACGCTCGATGGGCTGGGGATTTAGCTCAGCGGCATAAGAGCCTGCCTTGCAAGCAGGCAGTCGTGAGTTCAATCCCCAGTACTGATAAAAAGGAAAAAGACAACAACAACAACAAAAAATACGCTCGATGACGCATTTAGGAAGAAACCTGCAGGCAGAAGAATCTATATTCATTTTTGCTTGTATATCCATAAAGTCACTCTGAAGAAAATACAAGAAAAATGTGAAGCATGGTCGTGTGTGTGTCGCGGGTCTGCAGGGGCGGGGCGGGGCGGGAGCCTGTCCAGTGGCAGCGCGCAGCCAGGGAGGCCTTTGTCCTAACTGCGGGGGTGTGTGTGGAGCAGCAGCGGTGACTGCTTAGAACTTTCCATGAGACACACAGCCCGAGATGCTGTCGGCAGCAGGGGAGGGAGGTGGCTGTCATTTGCTCCTTGGAAAGCTCACCCTGGAGGGGAGCAGGGGGTGGGGGGAGAGAAGGGCTGCACCCCCAAATATCAGCTCCGAGCCCTCAGCACCAGAGCTGCTGGGAGCAGCACTTCTCTGAATACCTTTTCTGAGCAGAGACTCTTACGTCGAGGGCCCTCAGAGCCAGAGACTGGCTTTGCCCAGGGCCGAAGTCGGGCCCTCGGCTGGCGAGCAGGCAGGGGGGTGCTTAGAACCCGGGGGACAGGAGGCTGGAGCTGGCTCCGTAGCCCCCTGCTGCGATGGCACACACAGAGCTGCCCCCGCCACATGCTTGGGCGAGTCACGGATCTGTCTTTTCCTGTTTGCTCATCCATTAAATAGAACAGTACTGCCCGTGCACGGTGATGGCATTTTAATGAGATGACGCTTGTCCGGGCCTTGGCCACAGAGATGCCTGCTGTCCTCACCACCATCTTCAAACAGGTTTCTCCTGACCCAGGGTGGCGTGTGTGTGCTTGGAGTCGAACGCTCTTCAGTAAACACAGATGGTGTCCTTTTCCATTAGGCGGAATGCGTTCTTGTCCTATTGAGAGTGGGTCTGCACAGGGGAACCTTGTCGCCCCCTGCGATTTGGCAATTGTGAAGCAAGCAAAGGCTTGAAAAGGGCCATGTCAAAACTGCCCCTCTGTTTCTGTCCCCCCAGGGGGAGGACATGTCCCCATGTCCCCTAGTTTCAAAAGGTCAAGGACCCATGGAACTGCCTTCACTTCTGGAATCATCCTAGCATAGACCAGCCAACCCCCAGTTGACAAGAGTTGATTGTATGCAGCCATTGCTCTTGTGCATGCTTGTTATGCAGCACTGTTGTAGCAGTAGCTGACTGACACTTGCCTGTCACCTCCAGCATATGAGGTGAAGCTTCACAGTGCCTTCAGAGACCTGCAGGGCCTCACTGACTATGCCCCATTTTCATCTCATGCCTCAGCATCCACTCTGCACCTCAGGGCTCCACTGAACCCAATTTCCAGCAGCTTCGTGTGGCTTCTCCCCCCTCTGCCTCCTGTGTTCCTGCACCTGCTCCTCCTCATCCTTCAGGACTCGGCTTGCTTCCTTCCTTTGTGAGTGCCCACCTGTGAAATGAGGATGATCTAGGCAGGGCGTGGTGGCACACGCCTGTAATCCCAGCATTCGGGAGGCTGAGGCAGGAGAGTTGCCTCGAGTTTGAGGCCAGCTTTGGCTACATAGTGAGTTCAAGGCCAGCTTGGTCTCCACGGGGAAACCCTGTCTCAAAAAGACAAAAAAAGAAAGAAAGAAAGAATCTCATCAGCACTGAGCAGAGGGGCCCCCCAGCTGAGGGGAATGTGTTATGATGGTGCCTTTGATCTTCTGCCCTTCCCCTCCTGCTCCTCATCCACGTTCCCTGCCTGTGAGTGTTTTTGCAGAACGTGACACCTGTCCTGTCCCCGGTTGGGGTTGCCATGGCAGCTATGCGACCTTGCACATGCCTTCTAATCCAGTTTATCCAGTTCCATCTGCTTAACAAACCCCTTCAAGGCCCAGTCTCTCAAAACAGTCTTGTGTCCATCTCATAATTCATTTGGGTCCCAAAATTAAGCTGGGCTCATCCGGGTCATCTTTCTGATGCTGGCGGAACTCCCGCATATAAGCTGCAGCCGGCTGTCTGCAGGTTAGCTGGTACCTCTGCTTTGGGGGGCCTTGGCTGTCGGTCAGGGAAACTGGGGTCACAGGGCCGAGTATCGCTTGCCTTGCATGGGCTAGCTTGGGCTTGTT